GCTGTTATTGTACTGGATAATGCCCCGTACCATTCTAGAAAAATAGAAAAAATTCCCACAATGGCAACTAAAAAAGCAAACATACAACAATGGCTGGCCTCAAAACAGATCGATTTTGATGAAACAATGGTCAAGGGTGAATTGATAAGTATAGTCAATAGACATAAATACAAATACGATTTTAAAATGATCGACGAAATGGCCAAAAACAAAATAAAACTGTCTTGAGACTGCCACCCTACCATTGTGAGCTGAACCCTATTGAGCTGATTTGGGCCAACATAAAGCAATACGTGGCGTCGAATAATAATACTTATAAATTTTCTGATGTTAAAAATCTCTTTCACATCGCAGTCAATAGAGTTACGGCAGAGGAATGGAAAAACTGTATCCGCCACGTTCGGGAGAAGGTTGAGGTCAAAATGTGGGATTTGGACAATGTCATCGATACCCAAATTGAACCTCTAATAATTCATTTAAACGATTCAGAAGATTCAAGTTCCTCTTCTGAATGAGTGCGCGCAGCTTACTTACTAGTAACTAAAAAGTGTAGTTCACTCATTTGTGAATCTCTAACTGAAATTTACTGTAAAAGATAATAATTATCTTGTATGAAATTTTTGATGACTACCCATAATATCTTGATGCGGTCCTGTAATGTCTCCTGCGCCTAAACACTCACTCACGAGCAATATGCGTGTATTTGTTTGGGTTTAGTTTCTTTCTTCAGCGCCTAGAGTATAGACATTGTTCCCTCACACTAATGAATTGCCAGTCTAGGCAAGTGTGTGTACCGTCTATGGTAAAAAATGTAATCATCAGCAAAAAATCAAAATTACAATCCTCACTGTGGTTATTGTCCTTACCTTCGGATGCAGTGATGTGATCATGACCAGAATTACCACTGTGATAACTTGAGGAATTCGTGGTATAACCGTCACTGTGCGTGTGAGACGAATCCGATGAGTAAGAGGGTGATCTGGTACGGCGTCGTTTCCGAAGGTTTTCCAGTTTACTCAAGCGACGTTCAATCTTCTTCAAAACGGAGCTCAAACCAACACGATCGCGTGAGTGGCTACGGCTTCTATGCCTCTTTGGCATTTTTGCACATAAACAAAATATTTCCGAGAAAAAACGCGCGGAGCGATGTGATCGTACGGCACAAAATAGTAGACTGAGAATTCCGGCGATGAGTACCAGCGACGGAGATGCGAGGAGCCCAGGGAGGGGGTTTGTTTACTTTAAATAGTGTGGTCGTTCGGGGCGAAATCAAGGATACTACACATCTTTATTTACGAGACGAGGCCTTCATATAATTGTGTTTGTCTTATTCGCCATCATGGTCGATAAGACCGAGAAGAAATTTTGCCAGCCTCGCCAACGCGGTCGATTAGACCGAGCCGATTATTCACTCCTCTTTCGTCTGCTGTTTTTTGTATTGGTTTAACGCTGGTAGTAGACCAAGTTGGGGTCTGAGGATTGTTGACACGTATCATTTATGTAAAAAATTGATTGAATTTTAATATTTTGGTTATTTTATTTCTGGATATGGTAGGTTAGAGAAACAACAATAATTTACTTTATAAATCGTTTATTTTTGCAAAAATCTAGAACGAAAACCAGTAGTTTACATAATAATATATAAAAAACGTAAGAAAAAACTTATTTCTATCTAAGGAGTTTCATATTTATGAAACTTATTAAAGCATAATAAGCAGAAAAACGGTTCAGCATTACAACCTTTACAATAATAACGTCCTATAGTGAGTTTTCGTGATTCTTTCCATCCTTTTTCGGCTCTCACCTTTTCACAGCATCTACTGCAAGGTCTTCATTTTTTATAATCACTTTTGCCCATTTCGTGCTTTTGGCGTTTTCTTTTTGGAATCATCTCTGCATTTTCAGTTTTTTATTGACCAGGACTTTTGGAAGGCCTCGTCTGTTTTTTCGCAATGGACCTATCAAATATGTTTGCCTATCCATCAATCTTTTTGCCAAATCTACACTTGTATACCAGTTGTCTGTTACAAGAGTGCGGCCTGAATCTAGTATGGGCTCAAAAACACTCATAACTATAGATGTGGGTGAAGTATGACCTTGGCATACATTTTTTTTCCTGCATAAATTTAAGTTATAGGTATATCCTCCTTTGCTGCACAATTTGAATACTTTTATTCCATACTTATGGCGCTTGTTTCTTATGTACTGTCGCATTATTAATCTTCCCCTAAATGGAATAAGGGACTCATCAATACAAAAAGTCTCGGAAGGTTCATATGATGTTTTAAAATTATGTACTATTTTGTCAATCAAAGGTTGAATCTTATGCAGTCTATCATTATCTGGATTATCCTGATTATCTGCAAAATGCAACATATGTAGCAACAGCTCAAATCTATTACGTGTTATTACTTTAGAAGCCATAGAGTTTTTATACATAGCTTCTCGGCTCCAATAGGCTTGTTTATTAGGCATTTTTACAATACCCATGTACGAAAGCAAGCCAAAAACTTTCTTGATTTCATTTTTATCTGTAGGGAACCAATTATGTAACCTAGATGTACCTTTTACATCTGCTTCATCTGTAATAACTTGCGTGGCATATAGATTCGTTTGGTCAGCAATGTATTGAAAAATAGAGTCATTAATTAGTGAAAAATAAAACATTTCCAGAGGTTCTTCACGCAAAAGCTCAGCAAGATGGGGTTCAGTACCAGTTTGTTTGGTAAAGGGTAATAAAACTGGTTGTCTACCTGTTGGAATACTCCATATCATATCGTCGTTCCCCTTGCATAAGGGCGTATCTCAAAAACTGTAACTTTCCAGGAGGCGCATCCAAAGTTATGTTTTAAGTTTGGATTGGTGGTAGCCGGAACATATCCAAGTGAGCGGTGTAATTTTTATGTGGTTAAGGTACCCTATTTTTTATATGCTTCTTACTTCAGCATACTAATATTTTTTGGCATTTCTTACTACTCTTACTTTGAATGAGATACGCCTCATTGTTAGAAGTTACTTTTTGCTACATAGCGAACAAATGAGACACAACTCATATATTCAAGTGATATATTTTTGATCAGAATATATACGGTGTACAGTTATTATACCTTAAACTAAAAGGATTTGTCCAGGTCCATCAACCTTTCAAAGAAAAACCCAGATGTATGTTTATTACCAACATATATCAGGATTCAAATTATAACTAAATCAAAATCCATTGGACTAGTCTGACTGTAAAACTGTTAGTCTTTAGCTTATATACCTTTGACAAGTGTAAATTTTGGAACAAAATTAGCATCCATTTATCAGATCAAACCAGAAATTGTTTACATCAACTTTTAAGGAAAACAATGTTCTCAACTCAATATTTTTTTAAAACTAAGTTACCGAAAGACAAATTCGAACTTAATTAAAATCCTGTAACTATAATCTAAAAGGAAAACTGATATAAACATGTAAGATTCTAATTATTTTTTTCATACTCTAGATTTTTATAAAATCACACATGCTCTGGATTTTTAACTGCTGCAGTTGGTCCTTCACATTAAGAAACTAAATCAATATGTTTTACTAAAGAGATTTTGCTTGGTGTCTTATTTAGTCGACGTACACTGTTATCAAGCACACCAAAATGCGATCGTTTCAAAGAGATTGATCTATACGTGGTCTCCAGGTGAATTGTTTTAAAATATATAATGTCAGGCGGATCTTTGGCTACTCTTAGTTCCATCATTTCTGTCCAGTTGATAGGATTTTGATTTTCATTATCTTTTCTGATGGTAAGAATACGTAATTCTTTGGCGACACTCTTGAAATTCAAAAATTGTTTATGATTCATTTCGGTAACTTCGTAGGGCTGTCTTCGTCTTGCCAGCTTAAATATGGGAAGTAATTGCGAAGGCACACAAATATTTCCACATTTTTTTAGTGCATAGCTTATGGCACTGCTGAGTTACCTTCATTTTGGCCATGATAGGATTCAAAAAATCTTAAAGATATTTCGGAGATATTTAAGCTATTCTTTATGAAGTAGACCATCATGGCTGCAATGACAGAATTCTTATTTTGTGCGTGACATCCATCTGCAAATAAACTAGCAACATTAGCTCCTTGCTTATCGCACTGCAATAGGAACTTATAAACACAAGTTGCTATTTCACTTGCTCCTCTTTTGCTGATACCCTCATGCCAAGTGTAGCAATAGCAGTTTTTTGAGGCTAGATTGTATATTGTGAAATTGAAATTCAACAAACGATTTTTATAGAAAACTTTACTGTCGTTTAAAATAGGCAAGTATATGACTTGCGGGAGGTCAAATACAGCACTAATATTTTGAGTACATGTTTCTATAGCTTTGCTTTTACATGCGCGTTTTATTTCACGTACTCTTTTTTTCTCTGAAATATGCTTATTGTACTTTTCCTCTAGAGTGATTTTGGTTTCATCATTGCCATTTCTGTAGGTCAGGCACAAGCTACATTGATCCTATTTGGGATGGTGGAAGGACAGATTCAAAGTTTTGAATACATGAGCGTATGTACTCATGCTGGCCGTGTCTCTCCATTTATTTTCATCTCGGTATAGCTCATACATTTTTTGTAAAGTTAAATCAGGATATAAATACTGCCGGGATGAATTCTCCCGACAGTAGTGCGATTCCATCTTAGGGATCTATTAAGGTGCTCTAGAACTGAGTGCCTCAATTCTCTATCTTTATCTGACAAAGATTTGTACCTACCATCACGTCTTTCCTTCTCGATAACACCAGTTGCTGTAATTTTCGACAAAGACGTACGTAAATTTTTTTCTGATATTGATAATGTACTGATGAAAAATTTTTTACACACCCTAACTTTGTTTCCGTTCAAGTATAGGAAGTACCGAATACTTTTGCTTCTTCTGGAAACCGTATTAGTTGTCCTTTGTTAGACTTCAACTAATTCACAGTGGCGACCAATGAACTCCCTACGAAGCTGTAAATCACTGAGTGCATAGAATGTTGCAAATATGTCCGCTCTATTTTCTTCACTAAACGCATTGCACTGTTTTTCGGTTTTCACACATGTTTCACTTTCACATCTACCTAAAAGCTTCCGCGCTGGTACAATTTTCTTGCTGCTTATGCTGTAATATTCTTTGCCTTGGTTTCTTAGAGTTTTTGCAAGTTTCGACTGGTTTCTGAACTGATGGTCTTGGCTCCTCTCTTGGGGCACCTTCAACGGCATACATTGTTGATATGGAGTCATTAACGTTCAGTGAAGCCGTTGGAAGTATGTTATCTTCATTTGCTCGATTTTTATGACAAATACAGGATATGTCTTCACTTTGTAAATGGTCGAAGCACAGCAGACTAGAGCAGCGAAAACAGCTACTAAATACTTCTGCTTGACAGGAAATAACCTCACAGGACTGTTCCACATACCTATCAACGTTCAGTGAAGTCAATGAAAATATGTTATCTTCATTTGCTCGATTTTTGTGAGAAATACACGATATATATTCACTTTGAAAATGGTCGAAGCACAGCAGACTAGAGCAGCGAAAACAGCTACTAAATACTTCTGCTTGACAGGGAATAACCTCACAAGACTGTTCCACATACCTATCAACGTTCAGTGAAGTCACTGGAACTATGTTATCTTCATTTGCTCGATTTTTGTGAGAAATACAGGATATGTCTTCACTTTGAAAATGGTCGATGCACAGCAGCGTAGAGCAACGAAAACAACTACTAAGTACTTCTGCTTGACAGGAAATATCCTCGCAGGCCTGTTCCAGATAACTATCTCGCTTGTTTGAGTCTTGATCTACAGGTGTATGAGTTTGATTTCTTACAGCCATATATTTTGACAGTGGCTCATCGTCACTCGAAATACTAACTATACGATATTTAGATAATGGTTCATTGTCACTCTCGGAAGTGGAAGTTGCTTCTGTGTCGATCACCTGACCATTATACCAAATACCGCCGTAGAGCATTTTAGCCATTACGCCTTTACAAAACTTTTGCCCTGCTGTAACAGGTACTAATTTATCAGACTCAACCACATTTAGAGTGTTATCTTCCCATTTCACCATTACATCCATCCCTTATACACGTTGGTACCTGCAAGTATTAAAGAAACATGCATGCATTTTGATGGAATATCACTATAAATACAATGTGCCTTACCAGCTATCAACTCCTACACCAATACAACAAATACGAATAACTAAAACTAGTGGTATTCAACAGCGTATTAATACAATTTTTGAATGAAAATGAGATACGTTTTCATGTAGCAGCGACTTATAGTGAAATCAGCGATACGTCCTTTTGTCACATGGTAAGCTGAAGCTATGTGATGCCGAATCCGTCAATATCTCAATTTAACGAAAAAATGAGATATGTACGCCCTTATGCAAGGGGAGCGACGATATTATCCAAGGCGGCGCCGGCGTTACCAGCTAAATTGTCCTCTGTGTCTGTGTTTGGCATAGGCGCGGAGGCAGCACTACTTCCTGGTAATGGAGAGTTTGTACCAGAAGTAACGGATAACTCATCGTCATTGGTGTCTGCGGTTTGCGCAAGCATGGGGGAGGCAGTAGAGTTTATATCGGAACTACCAGATGATTCATCATCAGTAGGTTCGTAGTTGCTGTCTGCGATACTATCGTCTGAAAAAATAATAAATGCATGAAGGATTGTATATTTTTGCAGTCTAGCTATTCTCGGAAACTTACAAGTCTATGCGATCAATCTACGAAATAAAGAATGTTTCTTACCGTCATCCTCTAATGCAGATGCTTCATCTGACAGATTTTGCATAATTCGCTCTAATTCTTCTAATTCTTTCTGCGTCAAACCACGATTTCTGGACATTGTGGAAACACAAACTACATTCAAAAATAACAACAATAACCGCCTATTCCGTCTGAAAATGTGTACGTACTGAAATGCAATTAGAAAGACAATAGACACCACGTGCTGACTTGAAGAAACATGTCGATTGCTCAAAATCGCTGCGGACCGAGAAATGGACCGAGTTGGCGCATATGATAAAAAAAGCTACTTCCACGCCGCCTCGGTCTTTTGGACCGAGTGACAAATTTGACAATTTTGAGATGAAAATGACACCTACAAAGAAACTGCAGGTAACGTAATCATAACTAATAAATTTTGACTGGACAAAATGGCTCCAGGGGAACTTTTTTTTTTGTTTGGTCTTCTTTTTGTGCCTTTGATGGCATAATCATAAATATTGCTTGGCAGCGAACGTGTTAAATGATGGCAACACCGTTAACGTTTGTCAGATGGTTGCGCCACCTACTTGCCTGGAGATCTGGAAGAACTATCGAAATATTGCCGAAAATTCGCCAGGAATAAGAGTCGCGTTCGGAAAAGAAATCTCAGATCAGACGGATTTTTAATCACGTGATTTTAGACTTCCCCCACCACTATGGAAAAAACGAACGCTCCAGACCCAACAGATTAAAATTTGACATTTGACAAGTACTGACAGAGATTTGTTTGTTTTTGTTTTGGTTAGTACTCTTAGTACCTACATAGCAAGGCCTTAGATTTCTAGGTATTACGTTTACTGCCTTGAGTACATAGGTCAATTGGGTTAGCTTTAGCTACCTTTGGGATTTTTTATAAAAAATGGATTTATTCGGTTTTGTTTCAAACCTCCTCAATTGAACTAAAACAAGGAACATTGTAATTATAACTAGAAAAAAATTAGTAAGTTTTGGCATTTTTTCATTGGCCAATAGGGAATAGTCAGTTCACTCACTGTCAGAATTATTCTCGGAATTATTTGTGTTGGCTGCTGGAGTACTCCTCTCCACAGCTGATGTCAACCTCTCTAGTAAATCTAGATACCGGTCTTGCCTAGTCATTTTTTCTCTATGCCGCCTTTCTATTGCATTTTCTGCAGCTTTTCTTTTTCGCATAAACGAAGACTGGTATCTAGATGTACTAGGAGTAGAAGTATTGTTCGGTTCTGCCAGGGGCTCTACTGGATTATTGGCTAAAAATTAATATATACATTTATGTCAAAAATTGTTGACAATAAATAAAAAACAACAGACAAGACTCATAGATTTTGACATTGATTATTCAAGTATAGTAGCAACAAGACTTATATAAGCATTTTTTTAAAACTCTATAAAAGGTACAAAAAAATTTAAAATATAAACATCTATTGTATTTGGTGTACAGTATGTGGTGTACATCAGTAAAAAAGTAATATTTAATTAACTGATATTATAATACTTCAAATATTATTTATTATGTTACCAAAACTTTGCATGTAATTTATCTTTCTGGCATTCGTAAAGTTCTAAATAAATAAATAAATTTATAAGAAACATTTCAAGCAGAAAACTATTATACCCAACCACTGTTTAAGGATACATTTTCCAGGAGAAAATGGCTGATTTACAGCTCTTACAAAAGTCGTACTTCTCTCTCACTCTTTTCGAGAGAGAAAGTTATAAGAAGCAATCTTCTAGAAGAGAGCTGTAAATCAGCCATAAGGTTTTTGCAAATTTTTTTGTTTCTATATGTATATATATAAAATGCTTCCATAACTCTGGAACTTACTATACCTGATATATAAAGTTGATTTAAGCATTAATTGAACGATCAAATGAACTTACCTGTGAAATTCGATCGTAATTATATGAAGCGTCCAATCCGAAGATATCACTTAACCAGGTAGTAGTACGCCGTACGTTGCTATATCGCGCACAAAGTTTAAAGAATATTTTTTTTTTCCCCTTCCGCCATCCGTCCCCCGCCATCCATTCAGCATTCCAGTCATTCTGTTCAAAGTATTTTGGTTAATTACAATCGTTTGGGTAAGTATATTATTATAATAATAATATATTGAATAGCTTTGGGTTAGGGTGGGAGTGATATCTTCGGATTGGACGCTTCATATAATTACGATCGAATTTCACAGGTAAGTTCATTTGATCGTTCAATTATATTTCAGCGTCCAATCCTCTATATCACTTAACCAGGTAGATGTTTAAAGTAGTGACGATTGTAATTGAGTAATAAGTTATATACAAAAAATTTGTTAATTTTTTATTAACATTAATTTAACACAAAACTAAAAAGGATTTTCTCCCTATTGTTTAACAACTCAAGAAAATAACGTTATGTCTTAAAAGAAATAACGCCTAATAATATACCTGATGTCAATAAATCAGGTTAAAAATGAAAGTATAAAGGCCATTAAAAACGAAAAGAAGATAAACTTATGATTCTAATGAAAGGATTTGTTCAGCGAAAGTAGTATTGTTAACTATTTTCCTCTGATAAAATCTTGTAAATGTCGTTTCTCTGATCCAGCCGGCCGCCTGCATTATAGACTCCATGGGGATTCCACTTTTTAGTGCCGCCGAAGTTGACGCATGGCGGGCGGAATGAGGTTTAAAAATGTCTGTATCAATACCAGCTAACTTTAGTGTATTTTTAACCCATCTGCTTACTGTTTGTTTTGTCGCTGGTTTATGCGGACTCTTATGAGTAATAAATAGCCTATCATCAGATGCAGATCTTTTTTCCCGTGTGATTTCCAAATAGTTTTTTATGGCTGTAGCTGGGCAAATTGATGGGTTTTCTAGGAAAAACGGTATTTGAAGACATGGCTGTAACTTATTGATGTTAGACGTCTTTATTTGATCGGTTATTAAGATTTGTATATCCGAGGAACTTTCTCGGAAATTCGAGGTTCTAATTAGAGAAATGGTTTGAATTCGCTGTCCCGTAACAAGTGTTAGTAAAGTTGCAACTTTATAAGATAGATGCTGAAGGCTGATTTTGGAATTGTCCCATTTTTCTAAGAAGTTTATCACTTGTTGTGGGTCCCATGTACAATTGTATTTGGGTCTTGAAGGTCTTAATTTTGCTATGCCTTTCATATATCTGGATATACGATAGTCTTTTTGTATATTTTCTCCTAATATAAGTGAAAGAGCGGACCTATGCGAATTAAATGTACCAAACTGATAATTTTTCGCATCAAATAAACTTTGAAGAAATGAGATAACATGATTTACTTTAGCTTTATACATATCCACATCTGCTGTCTGGCAGTACTGCCACCAGAGCTTATATGTTCCCTCATACTGCTTCATTGTTGACGACGAAATTGAAGCTATGGCTGTATCGATGGAGCATTGTGGGTATCCCTTTATGAGGAGAGCTTGCCTGATAATCTGGCCGCCACCAGGGAAAGTTTCTTTGCTAGAGGATGGTGCACTCTAAAAGGTGAAGAGAGTATAGATCGACCAGCCAAAGATTGCTAGGGACGAAAGGGGGAAATGCGATGAAAAAACCTTACCATTAGACGATTTTATATGGAGTCATAGGCGGAGATCGGAGAGACTTGAATTATTAATTGAATTTATATTTTATTACAACTGGTAGTATTAATATTTTTTTGCGATTCATAATGACGTGATACCAAACATACATTATAAGAAATAAATATACACAAACACTGAATATTGAGAACAAAATAAATATATTTTTTAGGCAACAAGTAATATTCCTATGTACGCATTATGATTGAACAGCAAAACAAATTATGCATTCTTCTAAAATAGAATACAACAAGTCAAAAATATCTGACTGAATAGAAAAATATAGGAAAACAAAAAGTAATTTCTTGATGAAATAACCCATAAACAACACATAGAATTAGACTTTCTACTGAGATACTAAAAGCCACAAACCAATAGTATAATAAATGAATATCTAAAAATTCTAAAAGGTAGCCAATCTAGTATAGTTTCAATCCTGATTAGAGTCATGATCACTGTCTGAGGAACTGTCATTGCTATCACTTTCACCTCCTATGTTGATTATTATTTCTTCCTGTATTTCTTGAATGAGACTGTCTTTTTCCCAATATTCATCTTCAATTTTTATAACATGTCCAATAACCTTTTGCCAGTCACTGGCACTTACTGAAGCGATGGCCTTATTAGAAATTTCATCTAGTTTTTTTATAGTAAATTCGCCGCTTGTATTATGGCTTCTAATGAAAAATTTTACTTGTGCCCAAATCATCTCTATGGGATTAAACTGACACATATAGGGTGGCGTTCGAAGTGGGGTGTGTCCGAAACTTCTTATTAAATTATCTATCTTATAATTTTTCTCATCAGATGGTGGCCTATGTAGACAAGCTATTTCATAAAGCTCCATTTTTTTAGCATTAGGATCATGCTCTATACCTTTTTTGCTCAACCACGTGATGATGTCTCTTTTTAGAGAAGATCTAGTTGGAGGCTTGTCTTCCAAAGCTGAATGGTAAGGTGCATTATCCATTATTATAATACTATTAGGAGGAATGTTAGGAAATAGTTTTTCAGTAAGCCACTTCGTGAAATTTTCTTGGTTCATTTGACCGTGATAATCACCAGTGGCACAGCCAGCCTTGAAAATGAGACAGGCTCCAGGAACAAAACCATCTTGCGAACCCGCATGAACAATTATAAGTCGTCCTGGAAATGAATAAATAGCCTCATTTTAGTGTTATTTTAAGTTTGCCAACACCTTTTTGAATCACTATGTATAAAAAACATATTTTTGAGAAAAAAATACTTGCAAGGGATTATGTATTCAATTAGACAAATTAAATGAGCACTTATTAAGAATATTCCAAAATTGAGAAAAATGTATAATAAGCAAAATCGAGGTGAAAGAAACTTTATTACCTGTAGAACTTATATTGCTCAGGACACCCATAATTTCTTCGCTTTGCCAGCATTTCTTGAAAGTGAGGTCATTATCAACCCAAGTTTCGTCCAAATAAATAATATGCCTTCCTTCTTCCCGGAACTTTTTAATAGACCTAAGATACTTGTATCGCCAATGTAAAATACTGGGTCTTTCCATTAGTAATTTCCTTTTGTTGTGGCATTTACGCCAGTAAAATCCTTTTGCTTTTAAAAGCAGCCTCAACGATTCTTTACCAAATGGAAATTCCATTTCTTCCTTCAGTTTGATTAGAAGTTTACTACAAGTAGGTACCACTTTAAAATCACAGTAAAATTTTTCTATCATTCTCCGAATAATGGAAAAATCGACTCCATCAATTTTTTGGATCACAGAAGGGCGTGATCTCTTTTTTCCGGGAGAAGCTAAAGGCTGTGTGGAGGTTGCATTTTGCCTGTCTTTATCTTCTTTTCTAATTTTACTTATAGTTCGTTCACTAACACCCGTATAATATGCCGCCCTTGCATTTCTAGCTACCAGTGGATAAACGAAAGTATTGTTAGCCGCTTCTGCATCGCAAGCACGTATCACGTTTGCTATTATTTCCCTTGCCTGGCTGTGAATAACTTTCCCATGCTTGAATTCCATTATCACCACTAAACAGTAAATTATATTTTCAAAGTATTTGCCAACTGCCTACGCCTATGGGAGTAGGTTTATAAATGACCGTGCCATCGGCACGTTATTCTAGTTTCAGATAAGATAAGAGTTTTGGACCAATCAGCGACCGGATGTTTACCTGCGGCCTGGGTTTTCCAGCTACATTGCCAAATTCAGCGGAACAATTCTATATCTTAAATATGTTAATATGTATGGACCGCATTTTATGTAGAACATCTGACAACTTCGCAATTTTTTGTCCGCATTCTTTCGGCTTGCAATCTTTCGCTGGTCCAACTATAAATTAATGTCAGGCGAAAAAATTATTTCGTCGATTTTCATTGATGTGAATTTCGGAAACCAGGGTTGTGAAGGCCACAATGGCACCACCAAGATTCCCTCAGCCTTATCAGTGATTATTTTTTGAATGGTTCGAGTTATCATTGAAAAGGGAGGGAAAGCGTAAAAATTCAAGTCTTTCCAGCAAATAGTAAATGCATCTATTGCTAAGGCGTCTGGATCTTGTTTCCACGAAATGTATGTTTCACATTTTGTGTTGGCTCTTGATGCGAATAAATCAATATCTGGCTTTCCAAATTTTTGTAGAATTTCACTAAAAGCAGTTTTGGAAAGACACCATTCAGTTTCGGGAGCAGTTAATCGAGATTGTTTGTCGGCTATTTCATTATTTTTAGAAGGAATGTAAGAAGCAAAAATCCAGATATTTCTTTCTTCGCACCATTGCCAGATTGTTTTAGTAATTTTTTCTAGATTTGTATGTTGAACGCTACCCGTTCTGTTTATGCAGGAGGCGGCAGTCGTATTATCGGTCCTAATCAACAAATTACAATTTTTATGTTGTTTAGCTAAGCATTTTAAAGCATAGTATACTGCTTTTAATTCTAAGATGTTGATATGAAATTTCTTGTCATCTTCAGACCACCAGCCGTTGGCTGTTTTTGTCTCTGCACAAGCCCCCCACCCGGTAAGACTAGCGTCACTAAATATTTCTAAACAGAAAGTATCTTGTTTTATTTCATTGTATGCACTTAAAATATTTTTCTCCCACCATAATAGATCTATTTTTGACATAGGAGATAGTTGCATCCATGCATCATAAGATCCATTATTTTTATTTAAAGCCAAACATTTATCTCTTTCCAGTGCTTTAGTGTAAACCCAGCCATATTTTATTGCTGGGCAGGCAGAGCTTAGAGAGCCGATAAATTTAGCTACGTCCCTAATTTTTATATTAGTTCTTCTTTTTAAAATGAGCAAAGTTTGTAAAATTTTTTGTTTTTTGTCTTGCGTAATCTCGATTGTCATTTTTATGGAATCAAAAACGAAACCTAAAAATGTTAAAGTTTTTGATGGGAGGATACAACTTTTGTCATAATTAACAATAAATCCTATAGATTGAAGGAGCGAGAGAGTAAAAAACACTTTTTTCGCATTCTTCTTTTGTTTTTCCCAAAATAAAAATATCGTCCAAATAACTAACACTAACAATGCCATTTTTTCTCATATGTTCCACTACGGGCCTCATTATTTTGGTAAAACAGTGGGGTGCAGTTGACAAACCAAATGGTAAACATGTAAATTCGTATAAGGTGTTATTGTGATAAAATCTTAAGTACTTTCTGTAGGTTTTTTCTATGGGTACTGCGAAGTACGCGTCTTTTAAATCTATTGTAGCCAAAAACATGTTTTTCTGGATGAGCCTTAAGGCAGTCCTGTAATCTTCCATTTTGAAGTGGGGAGCACTTATAAAGGAATTTAATTGTTTTAGGTTTAAGATTAGACGCTTTTTACCATTTGGTTTGTCTCTAAGAAATATTTTTGAAATGAATTGGTCATCGCTTGGCTGGCAAACTTTTATTGCATTTATAGATAAAAGTTCATCCAGTGCAGCGGTTATTAGTTTGTTCTCTTCAGGGGAAAAGATTTGACAACAAACTTGAACTTGAAAGGGCTTACTATCAAACGGAATTCTATAGCCACATATATAGGATAGAATCTGTGCGTTTGTAGTCAGCTCCTTCCATTTTGACAAAAACAATTTTAGTCGTCCTGCATATTGACTTACCAATAATGCCTCCTCCTCTGGTACTGCTCTTTTTTGGGGTGATGGCCCCTTTGTGGTTTCACCTCCCCTCGGCGAACCGGCCTTTTCCTGTTTAAAGGAATTGGGTTAACTTTGAAGTTTGGTCTAACATTAGCTTCAGTATGCGGTCGCCTGTACGAAGAGTTAGTACTAGTAGAAGGCTGAGTTGTCATTGGTTCGGGTTTCAGGTCTTTTTTGGCTCTTTCAATTGATTTAGCCTCTTTAATTCTTTCCCCTATATCACTTCCAAAAAGAAATTGTACCGGAGTAGTGTTTGATACTAGATCTTTTACTGTCTTGTTTAAACTCGGCATTATAAGGTTTTTTCTCATGGTTGAAATATTAAATGACAAATCCGAAAAGATTCGGCCTGAATCTCCCAAAGAAATTAGTAATTGTTCCTTAATTTCTTTAGGAATATTTTCCTTATCTTCTAGGATAATATTCATGGATTTCCCAAGAGCGCTTATACCGACATTCAGTTGTTTTTGTATGCCTAAATGGGCTTCATCCCTTTTTATGTGGGGGTTTGAAAGCACTCCTACTACTTCCGGATTTACTAATGGAGCATTTATCTCCGGGCAATTGCTTGGTAAGGGATAACGCTCCAAAATTTTTTGCTTTTGATCTTTATCAAGGCCATGAGACAATATATGACCCCATCGTGTACATAGGGCTTTATGTAGTTCAAAAATGTTTTTATTTTTTATGTTAGGATCCTCTCCCAAAAACATTGAAAATTCATCTTCTTGCATATCAATTTCCAAAACAGGCGAGGCATTCTTGGACGCAGTCAGTTCGCGCCCGAGCTCTACTGAGGTACCTGCCATCCCGTCGCCGTCGGGCTCAGCAGCGGCATCGATGATTATTGACTCTGTTTCGCGCAGAGAACGGTCGTCAAAATCTGAAAATGTCGGACCGCGCGGGTGCCGATCAACGCTGCCTTGTCGTGAGCCTGAGCAGGACCTCACGTCTCGATGATGGTAGTCTCGAGCCGGGCTCCGGTCACGTGATCTGGCGGGCCTATGCCGCGATCGGGATCGTCGCCTTGAGAGGGACCGTGAACGAGACGTTTTCCGTTCGCCCGGCGCCGGCGAGTGATGGCGGTGTTTATGTACTTTCTTTTTCAATTTCTTGATCATTTTAAATAGCTGTTTTTTAGAGATATGCTCCGATTCGGAGCTACTGCTCTCGTTAGTACTTTCCATAGCTAAAATGTCCTAAAATATTATATGTAAATTAAGATTAGAGGGTAAAGCTTACCGTTTTTAATAATAGATCACTTGCACTGTCGTATCTGGAGCAAGAGCAACATGCACGCGAGACGCACAAACGACGAATGACTGGAATGCTGAATGGATGGCGGGGGACGGATGGCGGGGGACGGATGGCGGAAGGGGAAAAAAAAAAAATATTCTTTAAACTTTGTGCGCGATATAGCAACGTACGGCGTACTACTACCTGGTTAAGTGATATAGAGGATTGGACGCTGAAATATAATTTATACCTATAACTGCTCCTTCCACAGCATTGGTTATTTCACCCAGAACATGCATGCCTGTTCTGCTAGAGCATGTAGCTGGGGATTGAATTTCGGGCCTTTTAAACAAAATGTCATTCATGACATCAAAAAATTTCCAGTTTTTTTTGCTATTGCCCGACTGGTCATTGTGTTTTTTAACTGATTTATATTGGTTTTTCAAGACCTTCCACTTGGTATCGCATTGCTGGATGTTATATTGGGAGCCAAGTTTCTCAGTCAACTCATGAGCAATCTTACTCCAGACATATTTCTTTACCCCAGAATCAAATCTTTGTTCATACTTCCTATACATGTCGATCAAAGCTAATGTAGCCTCGTCAGTCCAAAGTTTACTGGTCTCTGTAAATAAACCAGAATAACTTGCTTAATTATGTTTTTGTAATTATAAATACTTAAGTAGAAAGAAATAAAAATAAATGTAATTGATTAAATAAACATAAAAACCTTGGATTGGTAGATCTCCTACTTGTATATCTTGTCCTATACCATCACGTTGAATAGATGAATTATCTACAATAAAGTTAAGAATAATTATATAAATATATACCTAGAGAAGCTATTCAATAATATAAAACATACATACTGCTTTCAATTCTATTGTCCACACAATTCTCCTTAATGGCCTCTTTTTGTGTTCTTGAGGTTGAGACAGAAGAACATTCAGGAGTATCATCAATATCATGGACAAATTCAAAGGCTTTTTTGAAATTGTCCCTCTCTTGCTGTTGCTGAAGCAGCTCTGTAGCAAGAGTTAAATCTAAAAGGAAATTTAATCTTTACACTTTCTAATTTACTAAATTTTTTAAACATTTTTTAATCCTTCAAATTTAAATGTAGGTACACTCAATTTATGTTCTTTTACTTACTTCCATTGACTACAATTTCATTAAATTCTTCCTGACTTACTCCAATAGTGTATGTTACCCCTTGTTCTTCATCCCTAAGCTCAATTTTTAACGACATTTTTTTTGGTTTTTATAAATAAATGACTACTGGTTTTTATATTGCTGAAATGTGTTAAAAACCGAAATCAGGTAAAAATAAAAACAAAACAGAACGAAATATCAGCCGGCTATAACTTAACCTCACAAAACCAGATTAATCTTTTCAATCTTCTTTCGGAGACAGATCTGTCAGATTTAATCAGATCGGTCAGGATGTCATTTACCGAACGCCACGGATTCACTTCCTCTACATCTAGATGCAATTACCGAACGATTCGGATCAGTCAGACTGGTCGGACGACATTTTCCGAACGCGACTAAGGAATGCTCCGAATGTACCGGGAATTTCGTTTGTTCATAATTTGAAATCTGCGGAAAACGATATTTCGAATATTGAAGGATCGTGAACATATATTCATAAAATATCCCCAATAAGGGTAGAGGAAAGTACCCTAATAGGAGACACCTTTTTATTCTTTGAATTATCTAATGAACCTTTCATATCATAATAATTAAAATTTAGTAGATCACATTCTAAAGAGGCTTTATAAAAAATGGAGAAAAGTGAAAAGTCTTCTTTTTTCAATTTACAATTTGGGGTCCTAATATGAGACATCAGGGTTTCGTAGTTAGGTTCCAAATAAAAAAACCTCATATTTTATAAGTTTTATTGTAAAATAAAACATTATTCTACTCTGAAAGAGTATCAACATAATGGAATATAATAAGTATTAAAAATATACCAAGTAATTTACAAAAACGGTTCAAGAACTATTTATTCGAAAATTAGTTTTCTTTTTCCTTCTTTCCTTTCACAAAGTGGACATGTGAAGGATTTTCCTTCAGTTTCGCCACAATCTTCATGAGCCCAACGAAAGCAAACAACACATTGGGCCCAGGTTTCTCCCCTTGTGCCCTCAGAATATTTTCCAAGCAAAAATAGCATTCTGCGTCATCTTCATCCATATCACTGGAAGCATCATTCAACTTTACGTCTGACTCTAGTTCTGACTCCGAACTACTAGAAATAGGCATTTTCTTAGAAGTCTTTCTCTTCACTTGTTTTTTTTTTTCTCTTATGGTACAATGGGATTTGATTTTTTGGTATTTTTTTAATAGATTCTTCCAGAGTTTTTTTATATGGAGTGGATGTAATTAGGCTCGCTATACCTTTCCTTTTTCGAGACAGACTCGTGCTAGTTCCAGAAGTTGATGATATTGCCTGGATGTCTTGTGGTGAAACTAGCGATGAACTTATAGGCTGAGCTGAATTATTCTGAGTCGTAATGTTATTATTTCTTTCATTATTTACCTCCACCTTTTCGTCTTGGTCCATGCTTTGATCTAGTTGCCTTTCCGTGAAATCGATGTCTTTGAAAATGTTTCCATTGCATGGGAAAGGTCCAGTTTTTCTAAACGAGTTAATTGATGCTTCCATTGTGGCAGCTCTATTGTAGGCCTTTCCGAAGAGAGAACAGATTTCGTTGTTTGTTACTGTCTTGCCAGGATTATTTCTAAGGAAAGTTTCTATTTCCTGTGCATAATAGGTTTTTAGTGGTGCCATAAAACCCACATTGAGGGGCTGCATTTTATGCGTTGCATGAGGGGGTAGGCAAACTATGGACCCGTGATTCTGCCTAGCCATTTCTATTACCTCCATGTTCCTCCTGTGGCAGTAATGGCCATCAAGAACCAAACAAACGGGATTGTCCGTAGTTGGTTTGACAAAGTTTATAAAATGAGCAAACCACTGTGAAAAAATATCTGTCTGGATCCATCCAGACAGGTGACAAGTCCAAATAGATCCTGCAGGTGCACCATTCATTAAATGTTCTGACATTTTTTTCCTTGGGAACACAATTAAGGGAGGAACGAATGTCCCAACAGCGTTCATGCAGGTCACAACAGTCAGAAGTTTTCCTCTCTCAAGCGAGGTTATTGCGCAAACTTGTTTTTTCCCTTTAAGAAAATAATTTTGCTTTGCTTATGTTGCACAACAGTCATCCCAGTTTCGTCTACATTAAAAAGTCGGTGTGGCGAATAATTAACCCATTTATGCCTAAAGAGTTGCAAAAAAGTTTTATTATTATTTTCTAAAAAACCTTATTAAAAGACGACACTTTGGAGGTATTTTCAATTTATTCTAAAAAAAAATACATAAACAGTTAGTTTTTTAGGATGTACTATACATAGTACATAGGAATAAAGGCAGCTATAAGAATAATAATAAAAAAATATTGAAAATAGTACAAATATTTTGAAATACATCAATATTGCAAATTTTAAAGAGATTGAACAAAACATTTCACGTGAAGGCCGACATCACATTTTCTACATCTAGTAGTCGTGCGCTCATGACAGTGTGCACACCTTGTTTGTTTGCCTTGTGGAATGACTAAATGATCTAAGCGATCATACCTTATGTTACCAAGATTTCTTGATTTACCTTGCTGGTACGTATAAGTCTTCTTATTTTGTGTGAAGATAGTTGTAGCTGCACTTTTTCTAAATTGTAATTGATCCACGTTATTTCCTCTCTTTTTATAAATATGCCAGGCGTTTGTCAAGGCCATATCTACACATTGAGAGATCAACGAGAAATACCATTTTTTGCCTCGGATTTGTACTCTGTATGGAGCTATATTCTGGTCTGACCTATCCACCCCGCCCATACATTTATTATACAGCTTGACAACTTGGGGCTGATCTACATACACAAACTTTTTTTGTTTTTGAGAATACCGCTTTACTGAATTTACTGGTTCAATTCCAATCGCTGTAGACCCAAAGGTTACAATATTGTTGTCATTCCATTTTACAAAAATTAAGTTTTCATCTTTTACTTTGGTTTAATCAAACTCTCCACGTTGTTCCGTTTTCATAAGTTTTGAATTTTTCAAAGAAGACATGGGTATACGATTTTCACGAATTGTTCCTGTACTACTTATGCCTTTTTCAGTCAAGCTTTTAAACAAAGCTGGCGAAGAAAAAAAATATCAAATACAAAATGATTACCTAAGATTTGTCCATTTGCTTTTTAGCCTATCAGCATAGCTCAATACAACTGATGCGCCAACACCTAAAGATTTGTGAGCCGCGTTCACATACGTCGAAGCACCCTGATAAGGTTCAAACCATAAGAGTAGTAGCGCCAACCCAAAATTTGAACCCATAACGTATTGGTTTCCCGTGGATATACTGTTTACAACCATGTCGCCCGTTGTATGGAACCATTGCCTCATCAATACTATGATGCTCTTCTGGTACTGCGTATTCCAAAAAATTTTTATTTAGGTGATTGAAAAGACGCCTTAGTTTAGCAAATTTATCATTTGCATCCAGAACTTCATTGTTTAGGAAGTGAATGTGAGACATTATAAATTCAAATTTATCGCGAGAAATAGCTTCAGAAACAAGTGAGTTGTGTGAATCACTTGATTTTTCCCAGTACATCCTTCTGCGAGATATACTACTGTAGCCACTCAACAATAATATGCCTAGAAAACATTTGATTTCAGATTTGGTAACCATAATATTCCTGTTTTTCTGTTGAGCATACCGATTTGTCTCCTCAACTATTATGTTCAAAATTTCGTCATCAAAAAAATTAAAAAATATCTCGGTTGGGGACTGCTCTTGTTCATTTTGATTTTCGTTGTTTATTGGAAACGCATACTCATTTCTTGGCAAATCTTCTTTTACGTAATTATATGTTTTCTTCTTTTTCACTTCCTTCCGATTATTACCTGATTTCACTGAGTGGTATTTCATCTTCTGAACTCCACATATCCTCGTTTTGATTCTTATTTACTTCGACCTCAGCTTGCATTAAGCTTCCTGGCAAGTTGTTGATATCCAGTCTTTCTATGCTATTAGGATCACATGACAAAAAATAGAGAGAAAACATTGCTATCAAAAGGGTAAATACCTGCTTTCTTAAATCCACTCATTATATTAGTCGGGGTCATTGCCAACGGTAGAGCTGATGCTACTAATTTTGGTATTTCATAAATTGAAATCGTTTTACCTGGATTATTACGAAGCCATGCATCATGAGCCGATGAAAGATATGTTTTGAAAGGTCCGTAAACAGATATGTCTAATGGCTGTAGTTTATTGGTACAATGGGGTGGATATGAGAGCATGACCACCCCATTTTCCTTGGCAAGTTCAACTGTTTTAATTGCTAGATGTGACGAATGGTTATCCAATAATAATAAAACTGGATACTCTGGCGATGGCTTGACATGGTTTATAAAATGTCTCATAAAATCAAAAAACTGGTCATCAGTAACCCAACCACTTCCATTCCCGCGTCCTATACATTCAGGTGGTCCGTTTGCTACAAAGAAGTTTTTAAACCTTTTTCTAGGAAATATAAACATAACAGGAATTGTATTTCCAATTGCTGATGCAGCTCCAATTACAGTAACAAGAGTTCCACGTTCTCCTGACGTTACAGATCCCACGTTGTGCATTCCTTTAGCTGCTACTATTTTACCCGGTTTCATGACTGTTGGAACACCAGTCTCGTCGATATTCCATATCCTGGAATGTGAGAATTTATACTTGTCCATTACTGCGGCCAGCTTTTCTTAAAAAAGACTGACGTTTGTTTTATTAATGATGTCGCCCTTCCTAAGCTGGTCGCCTCTGGTTTCCTGATAGATAGTGCACTGTTCCTTTAGAGAAAAGCGGTTAGCCAATCCTTTCCAGCTTGCTTATTTGTATGCCAATTTTCTGGTACTCGTAGGTTATCTTTAACGGCACATTCATAAGCAAGGGAACGTATGTACATCCGATGGAGTTAAACCATAAAATATAGATGCCACTTGTATGAGGTCGTCTTTTAATATGCGTTCTTGTTGATTCGAAAAAACTTGGCGAGGGTTTGCATATCCATGAACACATCAGAATCAGGGGTAGCTTTTAATTTATTGACATACCTCGAAAGCGTGGTTCTGTCTATTTTATTATTCTTAGCTGCTTTACGGATACTTGTACCATTTATTACTTCACTTGCAGCTTGTTTTATCAAATCTTTACTAATATTAGCTCGGTCAGTTTTTCTTTTGTAAGTTCGCATTCTGAAAGAAAAAAACAATGTAGCAATATTCAAGCATACGACATAATTACGGAGCAATACTTTGGCATAGTATTTAACCATATTACATATAGCATGTTGTAAACAGTAAAACCAAACATCACAACAAAAATGAGGGGTCACTTGAACATGGCTCATTCGACCCCCTTCATTTTGGCTCAAATGACCCCTTTCCCAAATTCTCGTAAATATGGTTTCATAACTAAAAACCTTTTGGAAATAGTTTACTTTTGTAACAACAGCTATAAACTGTAACAACATTGAAAGCAAAATACACTTACTTGAAGACCATTCGATGATACTTGTAATGTATAGCCCAAAATTCAGTGGAGCGATATTTTTTACTTTTGGCAACAAATTTACGACATCACGCACTCACATCCAGAACGAACGCCGGCCGGTGACTAAAGCAACGTGGGCTTGGTTTGCTCACCCCCCCCCACTTCGTCTAATGCTGCCAACTTGTATATATAATGCGCGGCGTGTTAGTGATACTATAGGTGGCGCACGTGACCCCGCGGCTCAAAAGACCCCGCTCTGCCCTACAAGACATGCGGTCTGGAATCCATGAAAAACATACCTCTAACTTCGTAGTAAGTTAACTCAAAACTCGCTTAAAACGTGATACTTTAAAACATTCACGACCCACGAAAAGACGAAATGCGAAACAGATGGGTAACCGATCCACAGAACCTCGAAAATAGGATTGCGGAAAGAGGTTTGCGTTCACTTTGCTGGAGGAACCGTCAGATGGCGACTTATATTCTAATATCCCTTTCAGCAGTTTTCCTGAGAACAAGGTTCAAAATCCAACAGTAATTATTATGAAGCACAAAATATATTAAGGTATCTGGGGGTTATAAGGCCCACCTAAGGGAAATGTAGGTATAAAAATAACACACATCAATAAAATGTGGAAAATATTTATTCAACTGAGTATAACAATCGGTAATAAAACAATGTAGTGTTTTAATAAGAAAAAATAACATTAATACTTCTTTAAAAAATACTTCGAATAATTTTTGTCATTTGGGCCTTATTACCAACAGTGTTGGGTGATAAAGCCCATAGCATGATGTACAAATTTATGGAGTACAATTTGGGCATACGACATCTTCTTCGTCCTCAACCGTCATACCAATGCATTCTTCATGCACCCAGTTATCGCACTGAATGCATTTTCTCATATCTGCAATGAAATCCTCAGTACAGGCAACACAAAACCAACTTTCTTTAGTAGACGATTGCCTTTGGTCTTGTGATGGTGCGGCTGATTTGCAGCTACTGGAAGTTACACGTACTGGATCGGGTTGGTGTTGCACTGAATCGGTTTTTCTACTTTCAAAAACTTGTCTTGTAACTACTTGCGCTTTATAGTTTAGCGCTTTTTTTCTGGGGACTTTAGTGACTTCAGTTGTCTTGCCAGGTGTGATCAAGTGTTGTGTAAATGAATTGGAAGCCTTATCTGTTCTATTTTCCCTAGCTGTAGCTTGTAATAATGCTAAAGGAATATAATCTTCCGGTTCCCATTCCTGGATATTGTTTTCAGTATTTTGCGCTGTCGTCGTTTCAGGTGGACGGTATGTTGGTAAACTGGGAGCATAAGCATGCAAAGGAATCACCTCCTTATTGAAAGGATAGATTCCAGTAGCTCGGAAACCACTGACAATATTATCTATGGACATGCATTTTCCCCAGACAGGAGTAAAAACATCCGAAAAGCGTTCCTTGTTTAGTTTTCTATCTGGGTACTTATCCCAGTATGACAGAAGTTCCTCATCCCAAAAGTGCTCGAAGGAACGAAAGACACTTTTGTCCATGGGCTGAAGCTCTTGGGTGGTATTGCTAGGCAAACATAGCAAATGTATGCCCAGTTCTTGTGCTTTGTCTGCAATTGAAACGTCTAAGTGTGAAGCAGCCCCATCGAAAATTAAGAGAACCGGACGTTCAGACATATATTTTGCAAAGTGGTCTAGCCATTGTATGAAGATTGTGGTAGTCATGCTTCCTTTGAGTGTCATCACTACTGCAGAACCATGAGGTAAACCGTCCTTAAAAGTTGGCTTCAACCTCTGACCTTTGAATAAGATCATGGGTGGGATAGCATTTCCTAAAGCATTCGCGCATGCTACTACTGTTACGTTTTCTGCGTGCTCCGGTGCTACAAGATGAACACGTTTAGCTCCTCTTTGAGCCAATACAGTTTGTTGGTGATGGAGGGTTAATCTGCACCCTTTATCGTCCATATTATAAATTTTTGATGGTTCATTCTTCAGTCCAGTTTCAGTCAGGATATTCGATAATTTATTAAAATAGTCGTTCACAATAGTTGGGTTCAGCTTCTGGGCCCTTGCCGGATTCATAGACTGTGCTTTTCTAAGTGATAAACGGGGGTGTCGTTTCATAAAAGCCCTGTACCAATCTCTGCCCGCGGCTTTTTTGTCCTTATTGAACTTATGTGGTGTTTTCTTGTCTTCTACATATTTGTAAACACACCTGCAAACCCTTTTTGGTGTCAGGGGAAATCCTCTGTCGGCAAAACGAATTATTTTTTCTTCCAAATCATCTTCTTCTTGACTGGTAAGGATAACCTTTCCACCCAGTTTTCATATGGAGGTGCCAGTCTTCATATGATTGCGTAGTGTTCTTCTTGATATTCCGCATCGTTGCTCGACATACCTTTGCGATTCACCTTTTCTCAGCAAAGACATTGCTTCCCCCATCATTTCCTGCGTCCAATTAGCACGCATACCACGGCATTTTTTCCCCATTTCTATAAAAGGCGAGAAAAACAAATGTTACACTATTACCATTCCTTATTACAGTTGCGAGCCATAAGGCCCAGCCAAGAATTCGGTGGGCTTTATCACCCGCACCGCACGGTTTTACATTTTTAGGTTATAAACACCATAAACTATCAATAATCAATTTGAAAACTTAGAAGAGAGGTTCTAAATAGTCACTAACTACATACCTGCAATTTGGAGTATACACGTACACTCTAATGTAGACGTTAAAACAACGAAAGTAACAGATTTCTTATAAAATCTACACAACGCCAACTTCCCCAACCAACTTTTAAGTCCAACTGCCAAATATGTATTCGCCATGTCCAGAGCTGATTACTATACGTATTCAGGTTAACATACGCGCTAATAGATGGCAGCACTTTGCACTTTTCTCATTTTGTTTTCGTAAAACATTCTATGGGCCTTATTACCCTCCTGGGCCTTAACACCCCCGGACACCTTATATGCAGTTGACAGTGGTATACAAATTGTATTACATGAAAATATAGATAGGTTTATTCCAAATTTATGTTGGGTGTTGCAAAACACAGGTGTCTCACTTGAATAATCCAATCAATACCTAATTTTTTGTAAATAAGCTATTTAGTCACTTTTAATTAGTTTGCTTAGTTCTATGCCTTTAATTTGTTGGCCTAGATGGGCAGAATTTTGTAAAGCTTAGGGCTTTATGACTTCTCTGCCGATATTACAATGCATTATTTAATACAAAAAAATGTCGTACTTTATAATATAACTGTGTCAACTATAAAGATTATACAGAGGCTGAATCCAGACATGCAATTTTAAATAATCTACCAGCTACATCATGCCGATATGTTAAGTTCACAGCCTACCGGCAGCACTTATGACTTATAACAGTCTCCTTTACTTCTGCATCTTCCACAATAACCACAATACATCTCACGTGTACCATCACAGCTACTGATAGTGTTTTATATTTTATTTATGCTCATTTTTAACGAACTATCTCCGCAACAGGATTGCAATCCCGTTGTTCGCCAAGATTTGATGAGAAAATCGCCAATCATTAAAGTCAAAATTAACTTAGTTGAGGGGAGGGTATCTGGTGCCTGGCCTAAGTAGCCTGTCTGTTAACGATAGCTGAAGAGCGGTGGTGAGAGGGGCTAGTCATAACCTCTTCAGTCCTAAGACCTGCTTTTTTGTGTTAGGGAATAAATAAAGCTCTAGATAAAGTCAAGTCAAATTTTATTGAAAAACAAAAAACTTACATGTCCCACATTTTGGACATCAGGACTTACTTTACCGTGTTTCCTTCTTGGGTAGGATTTCTGATGATTCAAGGTGCCAACAAAGTTATCCTAGATGAAATGAGACACCCTACCGTCACCTGTGAAAATTTCATAACTGTGTTTCTCCTCTTCGCAATAATTAGAAGTCTGCTTATGTCTACTGTATATATGAGACACTAGCCTTTTAAAAGCAGATTCAGGTTAGTGTTTCATAGATAGACAAATATAGGGAACGGAGGGTATTGCCGTACACATAACTATAAAATGTCCTTGTTACTCAAGTATTCATCAAAAAAGATAATTATCGATTTCAATTTGCTAATAATTAGGCCTATTATATATATGCTTAACGACAGAAAATAAAAGTCAGAATTATACCAGGTAGAGCACTCCAATTGAAAGCAGTCTTTGTACGGCATTAACCGAATCAAGCGGGTAACGCCGTACATGTAGTCGTCTAATTTCGTACACACATCCTCGTATATGCCATCCGTTTCATTAGTGTATTAGCGTAAAAAAACTGAAAATCATAATTTAACAGAAATATATTTAACTCAAAATAAACGGTAATGAACTTCTAACATAAATCATAAACGTTTTCCTGTCTTTACATACAAAATCCACAAAAATAATTAACTGCAGAATCATATCCGGAACATAAAGCGTGCGACCAGCTACCACAGCTGACGCACCTGTACCACAATTCTTTATCCTTCCCGAAATCACCACAAATAACGCATAGTTCCTCGACACCTGTCTCACCTCCCCTTCCTTCAGAAAAATCATCATCTAACTCTTCTTCATCATCACATAGAACATGTAGATCTTCATCAGAAGATGATGAACTCTCCTTTATCATTTGTTTTTTAAAACTTTTTTTATTTTTCCTCTTTTTAAGTTTTTTTGTCATAGTCTCAGAGTGTTCCTCTAGTTTCTTCTTTTTGGCGACTCGGTTTTCCTCAATTTTTTCTAAAACAGATTTCATAGGCGTCGAAGTAAGTAATTTTGATTGTTGTTTGGTCCGTTTACCTATACCTTTCCCTTTTGAAATGTGTTTCTTTTCAGGAGCTGGTGATATTTCACTAAAAGGTATTACGTGTTCAGGTGTTTTATTTCCCACAGGAGTCACAAAAAGTTGTCGTTTGGCATGCTCAATTTCCGTCTGAGTTGCAGATTTTGACGGAAGTGAATTATGAGTTATCTCTGGTTCTGGATTTTCAAAAAGTAACGAATTTTGAATTCCTGATGTTGAAGGGCGTGAGTCATCAGCGGATTCATTTGGTTCTGTATTTGTAGGTACTAAATATGACCTCTCATTAAAATCCATCGGAATGTCTAGTAAAGCAGATGATGCTTCCACATTTTCAGACTCCATCCTTATATCTACAATAGCCTGTTCTGCGGAAATCCTGTCAGAAGCGTTATCATTTCCTTCTTGTATCAATTGACTGAAAACGTTTGGATTGAAGGGCCAAATGCCTGATGCTCGGAAACCACTAAGTACTTTTTCTGCATTAGCTACATTCAAATACGCTTGAGTGAACAGTGGAATCAATTGCAGTGGCGTTAGTTTCTCATATTGATGGAGTTTCATATAGGCATCACATTCTTTATGTAAAGCTGTTTTCAAGGGACTGTAAACTGTAATATCCAGGGGTTGGGTCCTGTGCGACGTATGAGGCGGTATTGTCAACATAATAATGCCATTTTGGCGACAAAAATCGTAAATTCTCACAGAAATATGACTACTGTGATTATCTAGGATCAATAATACCGGGTCTTCCAATGAGGGTTTTGTATGTTCCGCAAAATGCACTAGCCATGCAGAGAACAATTCTTCAGTCATCCACCGTGACTTATTACATCTATAACTTGAACCGTTTGGACCTCCTTGCTCTAGTGACGGATGCATTCTCAACCGAGGATATATAATAAGTGGTGGAACATACTGGCCAGTTACGCTAATGCAGCAACAAATAGTAATATTCTTCCCACGCTCCCAACTTGTGGCAGATCCTACTTGCTTAATCCCTTTAGGAGCAAGTATTTTACCTGGTTTGTGAACAGCGTTGATGCCTGTTTCATCAACATTAAATATTCTATGAGGACGAAATCTATATTTGTCGTATGTTGATGACAGATTATCAAAGAATATCTGTACCTCTGTGGCATTAAAGGCAAGAATTCTATTTACGCTGGTAGGTTCCGGGCGTCTGATGCTTATTTCAGGATTCCTTTTTAAAAACCCATACATCCAGTCTTTACCAGCTTCTTTTTTATCTTTATTGAAAGGATTTTTAATTTTGTTAGACTCCGCATATGTAAAAACTGCTGCTTTCAATGATTGTGGCGTCAATCCATAAAACATACTTGCCAGAAGTAATATTTGATCTCTAATTTCTGTCTCCTGTCCACGAGAGAAAACGGGTTTTCTTTCTATGCGAAATGAAAGATCATAGCTGTCCCTTTTTGAGTAATCAGATAATGTCATAACAGGAATACCATACAAAGCAGCTGTCGGCCTCAACTTTGCTCCACCACGAATGTCCCTTATTGCACTTTTTATTTTTCTGGGCGACCAAGAGCACTTCTTTTTAGGCTCCATCTGTAAATAAAGTTTTTATTTCCTAATATCAAAGACCTGAGGGTCAAAATGATACAATTATGTACTGGGACAATTTCAAAAACAATTTTAATATTTTTCGTGAACTGATTATTTCGATGCGGTAAATACCGTACACGTGTACGCACTTTGCCGACATACTATCCTCCATGTTTAAGCAGAATCATGCGAAAGCGGATGATAGTATTGCAACGAAAACAACTTATTTCATTAAAAAACAATATTGTTCAACAATTTTAACAATAAAAACAACACGTATACACATATTAAAGTACTTACAATTAAGTTTTCGAAGGTAAAATATTATATCCACGATCGCAAAAACACAGATCATGCTCTCGCCGCCATGTTTGAACACATAATGGCGCGAACGGTTGTTGTGACAGTTAACCCAACAAACCCGACGTGTGCAACAAGGAACGGTAGCTTTCTGACGTTTCATTCCTTTCAAACTTGACTGTACGAAATTAGACGCCGTACGGTAATACCCTCCGTTCCCCTATGCCATATGCTATGATTGACTACAGCGCCATTTATCTTTTCAAAGTAGATTTCTAATCAGTGCGGAGAAGAGAAACATAGCTGTGACAAATTTTCATAGATGACGCTACCGTATCTCATTTCTTCTAGTATAATCTTTTAGACGCGGGAATATAGGGTAGGATCGCACAAGAGTACGCACTTAACCAATTTACTTTGTTTAAAAATAATTGAAATGCTTTAAGTTGAAATTTTTATTCAAAATATTTTAGCTTACATACTAATCTAAACTTAAAAGACAAATTTTGCCATACATTTTAACATTTAACGAACATATAAAAGTTTAAACAAAAACAATAAAATGCGTACTCTTAGGATACAGGTTCCTTAAGAGTACTCAATTGTGTCCTAAAGAGTACGCATGTAAACCAAAGAGTACGCGGTAAGATATATCGCCCAATTGGCTGTACCTAAACTTATTCTTTTAAATGTAGGCATAAGTCACAAGAAAATAGGCCATTTCCTAGATAATTAGAGCAGTCATCATGCCACCATGTTTGACACAAGTGACACTTAATCCAATCGGATGTAGAATAATGCTCGGAACATCCGGGACAAATCGTATTGTCTTTTTCATTGTCAACTTTTTTCTTCTTCTGGATTTCTGTATTTTGCCCAGAATCACCAAAAACTTTTCTTTTTCCTCCCTTTTTCTTTAGGCCTTCTTTACGCCTATCTTTTTCTTCCAACAATTTGTCTTTGTATGGGGTAGATGACAGGATTTCCGACTTTTTAGATTTAGTTCTTCTTACTTGTTCATGGGTAGCTTTTGGTAACGGTAAAATCATTTTAGGAGTAATACAAACACTTAAACCTAGATCAATCGGTGCCGCAGACGTAGCCTCAACATAAGTTGAAATTTTGGTAAAGCCTGTACTTTTTGGACTTGGTGTTCTAGTTTGCTCATTTTCAAATAATTTTTCCTTATCGTTTTTAGGCGGGATATAGCCACTTGTACCTGGTTCACTTAGTTCCTTAGGAGCTGCTTTAAAGTAAGCTGTACTTTCAGTAACGTCTGAACTTTGTGGTTCGGGAATCGTAGATTGCTTTTCTTCGGTTAATTTTAAGTTTTCTTTTATTATGGTATTTCTTACTTCTGCAAGAGTGCAATCGTCATCAAATGAACTCTCTTCAACAGATGATTCGATTCTTTGTATTTCAGATTGAGTTTCTTGGGCCAGGTCTAGATGTGGTCTGTTTGTGACCTCAGATGGAGCAAAATCTAAATCACTAAAAACGTCTGGGTTATAAGGAAACAACCCAGTGCAAGCAAATGATTTTTCACATATTTCTATAGTAGTGACTTTTGAATAAGCAAAATGGAAAATGGCAGCCATTTCTTTTAAAGTAATAGGGCGTCCAGGGTTGTTGACCATCCATTTATCGCATTCGTTTGAAAAAGCTGTTTTTAAGGGAAAGAAAAATCCTTTATCTAAGGGTTGAATTTTATGGCTTGCATGAGGAGGTAGGGTTAGTAGCGTTATAAAATGACTTCTAGAGAATAAAATGGTCTCCAATGAGCAATGAGATGTGTGATTGTCCATTATTAAAACCACTGGATCTGTTTCGGATGGTTTTACAAAGTCGCAAAAATGTCGCAACCAAATTACAAACAAATCAGTGTTCATATAACCTGAATCTGAGATCATTTTTAATGTCCCAGGAGGTGCTCAAAAAAAAAGTTCCTCCTTCATTCTTTTTCTTGCGAAAATAAGACCTGGCGGAACCCAAGTACCACCAGCGCTCATGCAGCATACAGCCGTAACTAGCTGACCTCGTTCACCTGATACAACTTTTGACACAGTTTTCTTCCCTTTACAAGCATAAACTTTTGGGAGCTTGTTTGGTACGGTAGATAATCCCGTCTCGTCCATATTAAAGATCCTGTGTGGTGGTAGTTTTAATTTTTCGTAAACTATTAAAGCCGATAGCGCGACCTAAGCTGCATTTTTCTGGAGCTCTGAGAGACAAAGTATTTCTTGCTGCAAAATCTTGTACCCAGTGTTTCCCCGCCATCTTGTTTTCTGTATTAAACCTATGCGGAATTTTATTTAATTCTGCATACTGAAAGGCCAAGTACCTAACATCTTTCATACGCAGTCCATAAAATCTGTTATCTAGATCTTTGATATGGTCAGCCAATTCCTTTTCCTGTGCTTGTGAAAATACAGGCTTAAATCTACCCAGACTAGATGGAATAGTACCCTAAAATAAAAATAAAATTGCATTTTGACGTTAAAATCGTCAGTTTATTATTACCTCTCGCAATCTTTTTCTTAATGTACACTCATTCACATGAAAGGACTTTGCGACCGATCTTTTACTTTCCCCTTTTGCGATGCGGTCCCTTGCTTGGTCGATGATTTCTTGAGTAAATTTTAATGATCTATCGCTCTTTCGCTTGTATTTACCCATTATAACAAACTAAAACAAATAATAAGAAGTCATTTCATGTGTCCCTAAGAGTACGCACGAATCCTAAGAGTTCGCATGCGTACTCTTTGCCTGCGTACTCTTAGGAACCTTGACATGAAAAATTTAAACACTGAGTTACAAATTTAGGCAACCAGAAAAACTGTATGTATGTCGCTAAGGATCAACTGTAAACATTACTGTTTAAGGCATATTTACGATTTTTTATAAAAATTTGCGATTTAATTAAATATTACTTACCCAGTAAGTTCAAAATATTACATGTAATTTCAGGAAAACTATTTTTTCCGCATATATGTTACGCATTTGTTAAAAATTGTCAGCAAAACTACACAAACTCTTGGGACAACTAACAACTAACTACTGACGAGACGACTGGCGGGGATAACAATAAAAAAATGGCGATCGCGTACTCTTATGGAACGCGTACTCTTAGGCGATACTACCCTACTTAAGTAGAAAGAAATAAAAATAAATGTAATTGATTAAATAAACATAAAAACCTTGGATTGGTAGATCTCCTACTTGTATATCTTGTCCTATACCATCACGTTGAATAGATGAATTATCTACAATAAAGTTAAGAATAATTATATAAATATATACCTAGAGAAGCTATTCAATAATATAAAACATACATACTGCTTTCAATTCTATTGTCCACACAATTCTCCTTAATGGCCTCTTTTTGTGTTCTTGAGGTTGAGACAGAAGAACATTCAGGAGTATCATCAATATCATGGACAAATTCAAAGGCTTTTTTGAAATTGTCCCTCTCTTGCTGTTGCTGAAGCAGCTCTGTAGCAAGAGTTAAATCTAAAAGGAAATTTAATCTTTACACTTTCTAATTTACTAAATTTTTTAAACATTTTTTAATCCTTCAAATTTAAATGTAGGTACACTCAATTTATGTTCTTTTACTTACTTCCATTGACTACAATTTCATTAAATTCTTCCTGACTTACTCCAATAGTGTATGTTACCCCTTGTTCTTCATCCCTAAGCTCAATTTTTAACGACATTTTTTATGGTTTTTATAAATAAATGACTACTGGTTTTTATATTGCTGAAATGTGTTAAAAACCGAAATCAGGTAAAAATAAAAACAAAACAGAACGAAATATCAGCCGGCTATAACTTAACCTCACAAAACCAGATTAATCTTTTCAATCTTCTTTCGGAGACAGATCTGTCAGATTTAATCAGATCGGTCAGGATGTCATTTACCGAACGCCACGGATTCACTTCCCCTACATCTAGATGCAATTACCGAACGATTCGGATCAGTCAGACTGGTCGGACGACATTTTCCGAACGCGACTAAGGAATGCTCCGAATGTACCGGGAATTTCGTTTGTTCATAATTTGAAATCTGCGGAAAATGATATTTCGAATATGGAAGGATCGTGAACATATATTCATAAAATATCCCCAATAGGGGGAAAGTACCCTAATAGGAGACACCTTTTTATTCTTTGAATTATCTAATGAACCTTTCATATCATAATAATCAAAATTTAGTAGAACACATTCTAAAGAGGCTTTATAAAAAATGGAGAAAAGTGAAAAGTCTTCTTTTTTTCAATTTACAATTTGGGGTCCTAATACGAGACATCAGGGTTTCGTAATTAGGTTCCAAATAAAAAAAACTAATACTTCATAAGTTTTATTGTAAAATAAAACATTATTCTACTCTGAAAGAGTATCAACATAATGGAATATAATAAGTATTAAAAATATACCAAGTAATTTACAAAAACGGTTGGCCTCACAAGCTCTGGTGAAAATCGAATATCTCTAGACGTAGACGGAATAGCATTTGGTTTTTGATTTTCCTTATCAATTGCCGACTCCAAGGTAGCTCGCACAGAAACGGGCGATGACAAAATCGCAGATGTTTCTATTTCCACCTCAATACTTGGTGAAGGTGCTCTTGTTTCAAGCCCGTAAGATTCAAGCCAATCATCCGTACCAATTGTTTCTGCTATTGGGAGTTCTTGTGTTTGAGATTGTAACTCTAGACGGTCAGTCATATATGATGGCATAAAGTCTTCTTCAGAGAAAACATTGCTATCAAAAGGGTAAATACCTGCTTTCTTAAATCCACTCATTATATTAGTCGGGGTCATTGCCAACGGTAGAGCTGATGCTACTAATTTTCATAAATTGAAATCGTTTTACCTGAATTATTACGAAGCCATGCATCATAAGCCGATGAAAGATATGTTTTGAAAGGTCCGTAAACAGATATGTCTAATGGCTGTAGTTTATTGGTACAATGGGGTGGATATGAGAGCATGACCACCCTATTTTCCTTGGCAAGTTCAACCGTTTTAATTGCTAGATGTGACGAATGGTTATCCAATAATAATAAAACTGGATACTCTGGCGATGGCTTGACATGGTTTATAAAATGTCTCATAAAATCGTCATCAGTAACCCAACCACTTCCATTCCCGCGTCCTATACATTCAGGTGGTCCATTTGCTACAAAGAAGTTTTTAAACCTTTTTCTAGGAAATATAAACATATATAATTGTATTTCCAATTGCTGATGCAGCTCCAATTACAGTAACAAGAGTTCCACGTTCTCCTGACGTTACAGATCCCACGTTGTGCCTTCCTTTAGCTGCTACTGTTTTACCCGGTTTCATGACTGTTGGAATACCAGTCTCGTCGATATTCCATATCCTGGAAGGTGAGAATTTATACTTGTCCATTACTGCGGCCAGCTTTTCATAAAAAATACTGACGTTTGTTTTGGTCTCCTAATAGATAGTGCACTGTTCCTTTTGAGAAAAGCGGTTAGCCAATCCTTTCCAGCTTGCTTATTTGTATGCCAATTTTCTGGTACTCGTAGGTTATATTTAACGGCACATTCATAAGCAAGGCAACGTACGTATACATCCGATGGAGTTAAACCATAAAATATAGATGCCACTTGTATGAGGTAATCTTTTAATATGCGTACTTGTTGATTCGAAGAAACTGGGCGAGGGTTTGCATACTCCATGAACACAGCAGAATCAGGGGTAACTTTTAATTTATTGACATACCTCGAAAGCGTGGTTCTGTCTATTTTATTATTTTTAGCTGCTTTACGGATACTTGTACCATTTATTACTTCACTTGCAGCTTGTTTTATCAAATCTTTACTAATATTAGCTCGGTCAGTTTTTCTTTTCTAAGTTCGCATTCTGAAATAAAAAAACAATGTAGCAATATTTCAAGCATACGACATAATTACGGAGCAATAATTTGGCATAGTATTTAACCATATTACATATAGCATGTTGTAAACAGTAAAACCAAACATCACAACAAAACTGAGGGGTCACTTGAACATGGCTCATTCGGGCCCCTTCATTTTGGCTCAAATGACCCCTTTCCCAAATTCTCGTGAATATGGTTTCATAACTAAAAACCTTTTGGAAATAGGTTACTTTTGTAACAACAGCTATTAACTGTTACAACATTGAAAGCAAAATACACTTACTTGAAGACCATTCGATGATACTTGTAATGTATAGCCCAAAATTCAGTGGAGCGATATTTTTTACTTTTGGCAACAAATTTACGACATCACGCACTCACATCCAGAACGAACGCCGGCCGGTGACTAAAGCAACGTGGGCTTGGTTTGCTCACCCCCCACTTCGTCTAATGCTGCCAACTTGTATATAATGCGCAGCGTGTTAGTGATACTATAGGTGACGCACGTGACCCCGCGGCTCAAAAGACCCCGCTCTGCCCTACAAGACATGCGGTCTGGAATCCATGAAAAACATACCTACCTCTAACTTCGTAGTAAGTTGACTCAAAACTCGCTTAAAACATGATACTACTACTTTAAAACATTCACGACCCACGAAAAGACGAAATGCGAAACAGTTGGGTAACCGATCCACAGAACCTCGAAAATAGGATTGCGGAAAGAGGTTTGCGTTCATTCTAAGACTTTGCTGGAGGAACCGTCAGATGGCGACTTATATTCTAATATCCCTTTCAGCAGTTTTCCTGAGAACAAGGTTCAAAATCCAACAGTAATTATTATGGAGCACAAAATATATTATATGCTGTTGACAATGGTAGAAAAATTGTATTACATGAAAATATAGATAGGTTTATTCCAAATTCATGATGGGTGTTGCAAAACACAGGTGTCTCACTTGAATAATCCAATCAATACCTTGTAAATAAGCTATTTAGTCACTTTTAATTAGTTTGCTTAGTTCTAATTTTGTAAAGCTTAGGGCTGTATGACTTCTCTGCCGATATTACAATGCATTATTTAATACAAAAAAATGTCGTACTTTATAATATAACTGTGTCAACTACAAAGATTATACAGAGGCTGAATCCAGACATGCAATTTTAAATAATCTACCAGCTACATCATGCCGATATGTTAAGTTCACAGCCTACCTGCAGCACTTTATGACTTATGACAGTCTCCTTTACTTCTGCATCTTCCACAATAACCACAATACATCTCACGTGTACCATCACAGCCACTGATAGTGTTTTATATTTTATTTATGCTCATTTTTAACGAACTATCTCCACAACAGGATTATAATCCCGTTGTTCGCCAAGATTTGATGAGAAAATCGCCAGTAAAAATTAACTTAGTTAACTTAGTGCCTGGCCTAAGTAGCCTGTCTGTTAACGATAGCTGAAGAGCGGTGGTGAGAGGGGCTAGTCATAACCTCTTCAGTCCTAAGAACTGCTTTTTTGTGTTAGGGACTAAATAAAGCTCTAGATCAGGTCAAGTCAAATTTTATTGAAAAACAAAAAACTTACATGTCCCACATTTTGGACATCAGGACTTACTTTACCGTGTTTCCTTCTTGGGTAGGATTTCTGATGATTCAAGGTGCCAACAAAGTTATCCTAGATGAAATGAGACACCCTACCGTCACCTGTGAAAATTTCATAACTGTGTTTCTCCTCTTCGCAATAATTAGAAGTCTGCTTATGTCTACTGTATATATGAGACACTAGCCTTTTAAAAGCAGATTCAGGTTAGTGTTTCATAGATAGACAAATATATGCCATATGCTATGATTGACTACAGCGCCATTTATCTTTTCAAAATAGATTTCTAATCAGTGCGGAGAAGAGAAACATAGCTGTGACAAATTTTCATAGATGACGCTACCGTATCTCATTTCTTCTAGTATAATCTTTTAGACGCGGGAATATAGTATTAGATCTTCAGGTAGAATATGTTAATCACGAATCAAATATATTTGAAACATTTATAACTGCTACACACCCCTCATTCATTATTCATAGATGTTGTGGAGATTATGCTCAGTCGTCAGCTTGGGACGAGATCAGAATCGGTGGACCGCACGTAATTGTCATAGGTTGTCGCTATGAACTAGCTCACCTTTTTTACGGATGTCGTAAAGGGTATCTGACGCCGAATTTGATCTCCTAACCCCTTACTGCATGAATTTTGTGTTTATTGTACAAAGAATATATGTGATAGGATTAAGCCATTAAAACTACGGAAAAATATTTAAAAAATTATTCGTCGTTTATTTTAGAAAAATAAATGCAAAATTTTGACATGTGCCAAATTTGTCACAAAATGCGGTGAAGTAAATAATTTTAATTTTTAACACGTATCAACTTTGGTACAAATTTCACAAGCGTGCACTATTCTGTGTGGATATTTATTAAAACAATTGCGATCCTTATTTAGACATAATAAATAATAAACATTTGCCACACGATATTTGAGATTTTCCTTTACAATCTGGATATTTGCACCTCTGTCGTTCTTCATTCACTACTGGTAAATGATTCAAGTTGTCAGTTCTTATTTCTTGAGCGGGAATATGCGAGAAAGGATTTTTTTTCTTTATGTCAAGTTGAGGTTGTAAACTAGTACTTGGCCTCCCTCTTTTTCTTTCTAAAGTATAAGCTCTGGTCATAACTTCTGCAATAGCAAGTTTGAATTCTGAAAGGGGTAAGTATAAATCATTATTTTTCAAGTGTCGCCTCCACAGTATCCAGCTATTGACGCATAACATATCAAGAAAATGGAAAAACACCCTCATATACCACTTTTTAGATCGAATCTGAATTCTGTAGTATCCTAACATGGAATCGAGTAGATCTACTTCCCCCATGTAAGTATTATATACCGCAATGCATTGCGGGCGGGTGATTTCTATATGGCTTCTCGATTTTCTGCAGAATCTCTTTACCATAGATACAGGCTGACTTTCAACATATGTTGACATGGTATTCACAATCTTGTTGTCAAACCATGAAACAACAGATATATCCACACCATCTACATTGGCTACTCCTTCAACAACAGCACCTCTTCCCTTTTTTTTTCATAGCTGTTTCCTTGGGAAACTCGAAATTAGGCATACGATTTCCTCTTACTGTCCCCAAAGGTAAAATACCATTTTTGGTCAGATATATTTGTAGAGGAATGCTTGTAAACCAGTTATCAAAAAATAACCTGTAATTAAAATTTTTGGGAATCGTTTTCGAAAGTTTCACAACAACGTTGCTGCTTGCTCCTAAATCTGGTTGATCAGTTTCAAAAGTAGTAGTTCCACAATAAAAATCAAAATCATAGGAAAATCCAGACACGCCACTTAGAACAAAAACCTTGTATCCCCACTAATGTATATTCTTGGGATTATATTGCTTGAGGCTTGATCGCCTTTTTGTCGGGATTATTTGTTCGTCTACGGCCATATGTTCCTCCTTAGGAGTAGCAAGAAACGTTCACGAATTTTGTTTAGAAATGGACGTATCTTGAAAAACTTATCATACCCTGGCTGCCCTTGAGGAATTTGAGACGTATTGTCATTGAAGTGAAGAAATCGTCTGATTTCTTCAAATCTATTGCAGCTCATAGCACGCGAGATGGATGGAATATCCAATGAATTGTTCCAGTAGGATCTGGTTGAAGGAAGTTGAATAATTGATATATTGGGCGGTTTTTCAGGTCTATTTTATACGCCAAAAAGGTTTGATTGTTCGGCTATATAATCGAAAATTTCACCGGTGAAAAAGAAATTAAAAAACTGAATGGGATCCTCAAGTTCTGTGAAGTTTGGAAGGGTTTCGTCTCCTTTGAATTGTACAAACTCTTCGGTAGCGGCTAGAAACCTGTTATGCCAATCCATTTTTTCTTTTTCCGTTTTTTGCATTGCGATTTTTCAATTTTTTTGCTATTCTTTGTTGATAACAAATTTTTATCACTATTCGATTTAGATGACGACGCTAAACTGTTTTCATTACGCGGATCTTGCAAAGATTGACGTAATATAGAAAGAGGTATATCACACTCACTGTCACTGTCAGTTTCATCGATAATAACTTCTTCAGTTGATTTTTCTTCTTCAGTTGCAGCATTGCTTTCATTTTCTGACGATTCACAAAATATTTCGGATTTTTTGAGATTTATTAGCTCACTCTTTCGATAGTCATCATCAGAAGATAAATTTTCATCATCACTCCAATCAGTCACTGGGATTTGTGTATTTGTAGTACCGTAAAATTTCTTGCGTTCCATCCGAAAAAGAAAAATCCATTACAAGAATATTATTTCTTTATTTCATATTGTTCCAAATATGGCACAAGTAAACAAGGGCAGTTCAAACGTTGTGTCCACTGGTGAATATGGCATTACGTGTTACTTGCCAACTTAGAGGTACGTGCCGGTAGTGTCCAAAATCATATGTCGCGTAACAGTGTGATCCTTGTACGGGCTCTTTCCTTACTCGGAGTGATACTACTATAGAGATGAGGTCGATACGACCATCCATCGCCACGTTTCCCGCGTTCTGCCAGACTCCATCCGCATAGTAGTTAATAGATGAGAAAACCTCCTCCTCACGCGTATCACGCTGAAGGAAGATCTGCTGACCACTTGATCCATTTATTGCCTCTCGGAAAAAGGACGAAAGCTTATCCATTAATGATGTTGAAAACTGGTATCTAGTGTTGCGCAAAGGTAACTCTTCACCTACTATACCTATTTGTTCTAATAGTCCACGTTGTTCTGTGTTTAATTGTTGTGATGGACTCCATCCCAACAAATTGACAGTGGGCTTGCCTCTGGCTTCTTCGACTGGTTTAATAGCGTCGATTTCCCATAGTCTATCTCTCGTGGGGTCTAAAGTATATAGATAATCTTCTATAACTCTTCTGGTCACTACTGCTGGAGCAGGGAATGATTCATACAGATAATGCGTTGAATCATCCATCCGTCCAAAGTGACCCTGACGGTTAAGCTGGTACTTAGCGAAGTCTGCGTGGTAGGATGCATTTGAGGCATCTTTAAAGTCGCCGATGCTTCTAAAATAGCTATCAATAGGCGCAGGAACTGGGTACTGATTATTCTTGTTCCTGAATATGTCTAACATACCGCGTTCTTCTACGGTAATGTCGCCTGTGTGATTCTTGATGGCCATGAGACGTGCTTCAAACAACTGTGAAAAATACCACGTCGACATAGACTCGCTAACGTACTTAGCTACGGATTTGTTGGCTACGCAGAGTTGGTTATAAACCTTCTTACAAAGAGGAAGGAAACGCTCAAATGTTGGGGTGAATTTACGATCGGCAAGTACCTGCCGCATCGGGTAAAAACCTTCCAAGTCGACGTCTTGGTACATTGGGTCGTTCTGTAAGGGGGATGCCTTTGTTGATTTGCATTTAGGCGCAAGATCTCGGTCGGTAGTAGGTGGTATCTTAGAAACAGATGCGGTTTCAGGTCGATATTGTTGTCTGCTCTGCCCGCTACTCTGTCCTTGAGGTGTAGGACCTACTCCTCTACCTCTGCCACCACGTCCGCGAGAACCTCGGCCACGCTGTTGGCCTCCTCGCTGTGTTTGCGAAGTGGGCGCGTCATTCGCTGCTCCTTCTTCCAAACTTGTAGCATTTATCTCTGCTGTGCTCATATTGCCGGCTGGCTGTATAACACCTTATATATAAATTCGAAAACTTAAAAGGGATTATTA